ATGGTATGGTATGGTAAAAAAACCCAGGCAATTTTTTTCCAGCACACTAACGTTATTTAAATTATTTTCTTTCTTGCCTGTCGGAGATGATAGTAATTAATTCCTTTACGATCACCGACGATACATACATACAAGTAATAACGAAAAAACTATCTATGGGTTTTATTTTACAAGTGATTCGTTTTGTACATCAATTAGATTAATTTTTGAACGATAAATTTACTTATTAAGTTAAAGGAAAAAAGTAAAACAATCAGTGAAGTGACATTTTTAGTTAATGATGACCAAAGTTAAATCAAATTCTTTTGTATTAAGAATGTTTGGGAGGTATGTCAAAATGCTACGAGTCAAATAAAAATTTGGAAAAACGTTCCTCATTCAATTCTAAAACTCCTGTAAAAATTACAAATCGATTCACTAAACCGTTTAAAAGTTATTGAAATTTTAAAAAATTGTAATTTTACACGTCATTTTATGGAGATTCGTTAACCGAACAGATTAAATTTATTTTTATTAACACAAAAAAAGCTACCAGAAATTTCAAACTTTTATAATAAGTAACTTGAACTCTGGAGAATCACTTTAGCGAAAGGTTATTCAAATTCACTAAATGGTTATCGAGGAAAATGTGAAAAATTAGCTGAAAATCTCGTTTTTACTTGATAATATAATGATAATATTTATAATTGTCTGAAATAAATGCAATTTTAAAGTTTTAATTATTATTTAAACATGTTAAAAAGTTTTACGCTCATTATTAATAGAGATTGAAACTAAATATTTTTTTGTTTCGAAGTTGAAATCAAGGCATATTCACTGCCAAAAGTCAGTTAAAAATTTTCCATATTATTCGTTATTTCTTATTTTATTCAAAGATTTTGGTCAAATTCCAATAAATTTTCTTTCAAACCGTATACTTTTTTTTTAGTATAGACAGTATTTATTTACCTCATGATATGCTGCAAAACCTAATTAATCAAGAATTTCTAATTTTATGTACTCTTGTCTCCGATTGTACCTCCCAAACATCCTTAAGAACACCGAAAGGCAAAGAGTACAGATTTTATTGCTTGACTAGGCTTTTTTATGCCAGTACCTCTATATAAACAGAAGTAAGGCCGCTGGTCCGAGGCGATTCGAAAGTTAATACAATAAGAAGAAGTAAAGCAAGCAAACGAAGCAGGTATATGGAATAATGTGCGCTTTTAAGAGACGGTATTTAGGTTTCTCGCTGTTTATTTTTCCATTTAGCAAAGACGTGCGATGATGTCTGAAATTGTTTTCAAGCAGGAACATCCCGACCATTCTTACTCCTTTCCAACTCATTCGATAAATGTTGCTTGATTAATAAATTGCCAAAGTGAAAGGACTAAATTGACTTCCACACCTATAACCATTTTATTTAAAGTTTACTGCGTATTTCCAACCAGAACTTGGTTTGAGAACCAATCAAACGAGGGAGAGTTTTAATGGCAAACCAGATATTTAAAATTCATTTCAAATACGAAGAAAACATACACCTATCTGTCACACGGAAGAAGTCTGAACAGGACGCTTATTTTCATGGTTCGACGTCCCGTGCAGTTATGGATTTTTCAAAACGATATAAAATAAATTACCGCATTCACAATACGTGATAGGGCTGGACAAAGTAACATTTATTCTCTTTTTAGCAAGCCAAGAAGCCGTTTTACTCTTCTTGTCAATTTCTTGATGGCTCGATTCTTTGTCTTGTTAGGAAGAGTCTTGTTACTTCTTGTTCTTGCTGGCTTGGGGGGTCTCCCAAGGCTGATTTGTCTAAATTCCAGGAAGGATCTAAATATGCACATACGAGGTCTGTTCAAAAAGTATCACGAATTTTGAATTTCCGCGGGTTACGTATATTCGATTTTATTCTGGCGTTATGTTGGTATTCGTGTCTCTCACTTATACCGACAAGTTCGGCCATGCTAAATGTTCAGTTAATTTTTAACAACTGCTCTGCTTGTACGTGATTTCGTACGTCTTTGATTTTTGCCAATTCCAAAAAATGGATCAAAGAATCTGTACCAAATTTTGTGTGAAAAACAAAATTAAGTGCGCGGACGCATTCCGAATGTGGACTGTGGCATATGCTGAAGTTACCTTGGATCGAAGCAACGTTTATCGGTGGTACAAAATGTTCTCGGAAGGCCGAAAAGATGTGAACGACGAAGAGCGTGCAGGACGCCCAAGCACGTCAACAACAGACGAAAACATTGATGAAGGAAGAAAATAGTATTGGCCAATCGTGGAATCACCCGTTAGAGAAGTTGCTGAGGGCCTAAACATATCTATTGGCTTCTGCATTTCGATTTTTACCAATGATTTGGATATGAGACGGGTCGCCGCGAAATTCGTACCAAAATTGCTCAATTTCGCCCAAAAATAGCATTGTATTAACATTGCTAAGGAGCTTTTGGTCACTGTCCGTGACAATCCAAATTTGCTTCAGAGGGTCATAACTGGTGACGAATCATGGGTTTATGCTTTAAGCTCAATCATCCCAATGGAAACTGTCGCACGAGCCAAACCGAAGAAGATCGAATATGAAGGTTTTGCTTACAGTTTTCTTCGATTGCAGGGCCGTGGTTCATCATGAATTCTTTTCACTGGGTAGAGCGGTCAATAAGGAATATTACCTGCAGGTTATGCGTAATTTGCGCGAAGCAAACCGCCAGACACGCCCGGATTTGTGGAAGAACAAAAATTGTCACACATCGTTGCCGAAAACAACACACAAATAATGTCGCAGTCACCGCATTTCCCGGATCTGCCCCCTGTGACTTTTTCTTGTTCCCGAAACTGAAAAGGCCCACGAAGGGACGACGCTACGTTACGATTGAGGAAATAAAGACGGCATCGAAGAAAGAGCTAAACATAATCACAAAAAAATATTTTATATTTTAATAACTCGTAGGGATNTTTGTGTCAGCCCAATCACATATTGTGTCAATACTTATCATTTTATCGTAATTTAAAAACTTGGAAATTGCACGGTACACTATAGGAAGTACGATAAATTTTCCCTAATCGGCGCCATGTTTTTAGGCTAATCCCATTTGACAGATACCAATACAAAATGTTCTCGGAGGGCTGAGAAGATGTGAACGACGAAGAGCGAAAACAGCATCGCATTAACATTTCTAAGGAGCTGTTGGACTCTGTCCGCGACGACCCAAATTTGCTCCAGAAGGTTATAACTTATGACGAATCATGGATTTATGGTTATGACGTGGAAAATAAGGCTCAATAACCCAATGGAAGCTACAGCACGTGCCAAGACCGAAGAAAGCGCGTCCAGTTATGTCGAATGTGAAGGTTTTGTTTATCGTTTTCTTCGATTGCAGGTGCCTAGCGTATTGAGTTTTCGCCACAGGTAGAACGGTCAATATGAAATATTACCTGCAAGTTATGCGTAATTTGCGCAAAGCAATTCTCTAGAAACGCCCGGATTTGTGGAAGAACCAAAATTGACTTTTGCACCATGATAACGCCCCTGCTCACACATCGTTGCTTGTGCGTGAATTTCTGGTCAAAAACAACACACTAGTCATGCCGCAGCCACCGTATTCCACAGATCCCCCCCCCTGTGACTTTTTCTTGTTCCCGAAACTGAAGGGGCCCATGAAGGGACGACGCTACACTACGGTTAAGGAGATAAAGACGGGATCGAAGGAGCTGAACAAGATCACAAAAAAATGATTTTTTGAAGTGCTTCGAGAATTAGAAAGAACGTTGGCACTAGTGTATAATATCTGGTGGGGATTACTTTGAAGGGGACAAAATAGATATTCATTAATAAATAAATAAATCTTGAAAACACAAAATTCGCGATACTTTTTTGAAGTGCTTCGAGAATTAGAAAGAACGTTGGCACTAGTGTATAATATCTGGTAGGGATTACTTTGAAGGAGACAAAATAGATATTCATTAATAAATAAATAACTTGTGAAAGAACATAAAATTCGCGATACTTTTTGAACAGACCTTAGGAGATATACGACCTACATTTACTTAATATTTGTACAATTCACACCTTATGAACTTAAGATCCTTTTACATATCAGAAAACCACAGATTTAAATTTTGTAGATACTTTTTAAAGTTATTTACCTTAACGTTAAATCATATACTGCACGCTTTTAAGTCTATGGTTTACGTCAAACCTTATTGCTTGCTATAGTCTTTTATTTTGATACACTATAGACTTGTACTCAATAATGCGTTAACAGTAATAACAAACAGCAGATTTAAAGAATCATGATAAAATGATGACAATATTATGTATACCGGTGGTATACGAAGCAACAATTACAAACATTGGTTATAGGCTCCTAGTATCAAAATGATTGTAGTAGGTATATTATCACTATTGTTTTCAATATAAAGGTTAAGGTCAATTCTTTTATAAAACATCTGTACAAAATGAATAAAACAAATCAATATGAAAAAGCAAAGAACGTGGCTCATTCAAACAATAAAGGTAAGCCATAAAAATTCTTCAAATGTTCGTCTATGTAATAGTAAACTAATTATCTTATTTATTTCTAATTAATTGTTTTGTTGAAGAATTGAACCGGAAGCACGTAACACTCAAGATACCAGTTTACATTCTTATATTTTAATTTCTATAATATTTTAAAGGTACGTCATTTAATGCTTGAAATAAGTTTTTAAATTGTCCGAATAAGATATAATTTATCTCTATCTATTTGAAATACACGCTTCAGATATTCTTCATTTGTGGTAAAATGTTTAACGATTAGAAAGTTGAAAGCGAAATTTTCAGGGTAAATTAAGTCTCGTATCTCGTTATTTTTATTAAGGTGATTACCGAGATACTACGTTGCCAATATCAAAAGATCAAATCGGACGAATTATTCAATTACAGTTTGCTACTAATCAATTAACATTATTAGCCTGTTTACGCAAATTTCCCACCACCTGAAATTAGAGAGGAAAAAGAAAGTTGAACTTACCGTCCATCTGAAAGTGAATGGCAAGACAAGCTTACCCCTTTCGGGGTCGGCAAGGGTGAACGAATCTCGTCCCAGAACCGGTCCGGAAGTATTACCGAAGGAACAGGATCCAGTACTAGTGACGTTACTTTGATATTCTTTTAAACATAGCCGAAAGTAAGTGTTGCAAGGTTTTGGACAACGTGGTGCCAAAGGAGCACGGTGCGACCCTCCGCAACATTCACCGTTAGAGAGCTCGCCCCGAGGATTCGACATCTCCAGGACTTGGAGTTCGAAGAACCCCGAACACTGTGTGTGCTGTAACAAAAGAAAAATATACTATACTTTTCAATTTACAGGTAATACGTCAACGTCTTCGTCAGTTAGGAAGTAAACATACATACATTTGTCAGTAGTGCCCAAATGGAGTCGACATTTTTTAAGGACGTTCCCAAAAAAAATTTTTCTTAGGATCATTTTTAAAATTTAATTGTAAATATCTACCTGTATTCTGAACGCATTAGAAAAATTTCGACCCATTTTGCAGTACTAAAATTGAAAATATTAGCATTTTAAATTTCTATTTGAACGCATGTTAATTTATACATTCATGTAGGTTTTAGTGCCTAACAATTATAATTTTCTTACAATTTTTTTTACATTTCGAGAATTAGCAGTTAATATTCACATAAATAATTTCCATACAAAATAGGTACAAGAAGCGGTATTAATTTTGTTGTAAACAATGTGTAAAGTTAATCTCAGACTCAAACTCTCCTGCATAAGCTGATCAGTAGTGTGCGACTTGGCTTCGCTGCAATAGCGCGGGACGTTTAAGTTGGTTATCCTAAACTGTAGAACCTGCGTGTTTTTATTTATTGTTGTCTGATTTCATTTAACAATATTAAAATTACTATTAATATTCACTCGATTATTATTAATATTACAATTACTAATAATATTGATTATAATTCAGTTCATTATTATTTTGAATAAAAATGTTTAGTTGAAAAAACATGAGTTCTACTTTTTAATAAATTCATATGCTTAAAAAATATAATAAAAAATATAATAGACTGTTTATATTAGAAAGAAATAAAATATTTATTGACTGATAATAATAAAAATGAACAATAGTATGAAATGATAAAAAATGTGAGTTGATCATCTCAAGATGATGACCTTTAAAGGTCAAAATGGGGTTACTTAAGGTTATAATTGATTGCAATTCTTTCAGTTCTTTTCAGTTGTCTCATTTAAAGAAATGATCAAACTGAAGGTCAAAACCAAAGTCACTAGATAATAGCCGTGTAGAAATTATTGCATAGTTTTACTAGACAACATGTGATCAATTTGCTGTTCTGCTGTTTTGGTACACACACTATATTTATATACTTACTGTGCCATAGATGTACTAAGCAAATAAGAATAATTTGAAGGATTTGGAAAGAAAAAAGGTATCGAAATCGAATCGAAAGTGTACACGTGGTTAGTTTCAGTGGTACGATACCTGTCAGTCAGACAGTTGTCCCGCGTTCGATTATCAGCAACACCTTTTTTATGTTGAGTAAAATCATTGATCGACCGCATGCAATTTTTAATTAAATGAAATTTCATGTTTTAAGAGTAGTACGTATGCAATCCAAGCTCCTCTAGCACAAAAATGTACGCCGTGGAGCATCTAGAATTATAAAAGCTTAAATGCCAGGAAAGCACCACAACAAATACACCTTCTCCTTGTTCATGTGGTATGTCTGCAGAAAATTATTATCAAGAATGCTAATCTTAACTCTTAATTGATTAGAAATTTTAATTAATATCTATACGTCATATAATATCCAATTTTTTATGTTTTTTATTAATGTTTGCAACCTTTTATATCAATCAGAATTTAATTGTGTGAGAAAAGCCATTGTTTATTGTGTCAGACACCATTTTTAATTTGTAATACGACGCCTACTTTCTTTTTATTTTTTATTAATGTTTATCCATTAAATTTGGTCCGTCTGAGAATACTTTTTCACAATGCCAGACTATCTCTCCTTTTAATTAATTAATATTTTTTATTACCATATGTGTGGTGCAGACCCTTACTTTGTTTTTAACGATTGTTACCTACTGCATTAATTAAAGTTGGAGTTTATTCAAGTATGTTTTTCTTGGCCGATATAAAAAATCAAAAGTAATCCTGGTTTTACCATTTTTACTAAAAATTTAAGCTTTTACGATGTGAGATGTTCTATGACGTAAGTACGTATTTGTCTTATGGCAGCTTGTACCGTTTGGTAAATATTTTTGTTCTAAAATTTATGAAAAAAACCATGTCCGCCAACTTATTACAAAAAGAGAGAATCATCATCATCATAAGGTCGTCAGTACTAAGACCGTTTGGACGCGCACCTCATAACCTACCTCGCCTATTTTTTATTGACTTCCATAGAGTCCTGTGTTATCTTATTCTTTTTATTACCACTTTCTCTATCCACGGTATCCTCATCATTCGCCTATAACGCCACATTTCGAACGCTTCTAACCTTTTCTTTTCCGCCGCGCCCACCGCCCATGTTTCGCACCCGTACAACGCCGCGTTCCAAACACACTTTTAACAATCTTTTTCTAATTTCTAAATTAACCGTTCACGAGCATAGAAGGGACTTCTTTTTATTGATGACGACTCGACCCTGAGCTATCCTCTGGTTTATATCCGTACCACTCCTTCTCTCCTGACTTATCTGACTTCCTAGATACCTACAATCGGCAACTTCTCCTTATCTTTATATTCGCTCTTTCCCTACTTTTTCTTCCCTTGTATGCCAGTATTTTTGTTTTACTTTTATTTATTTTCATACAGAACTGTATTGTCAATACCGCTTCCATTTTATTGAAAGCTATATCTAACTCCCCCTTGCTAGATGCTAATACCTCTATATCATCTGCAAATCTAAGCATACTAAACTTTTGCCCCTGTATATCTATCCCTACAATTGTGCCGTCCTTAATGATGTTGATCGCGTCTTCAATGTAGAGAGAATAAAATAAAATAATTGTAATTGAATTAACGCGTGATAGGAAGTGGGTATACGGACACATACCTACCTGTTTACAATTTTACGGTTTCTTTCTATCTAATCTCGTTCCACTCCTCGAATTTCATTTAATTATAGACTCATGAAACCACATCGGCCTGCTTGACCTAACCCGCTCAGTACTCACACATAAATGAGTCAGATGGTAAAAATAATGGAGATTTCTGTCCGAAAGACCCTCAATTGGATAATAAATCCTAATGTTTTGTACACGCTTTCGCTTTAGAACCCGCGGGCTAGTTCCAGGTACCAATTAGGTAGAAGCGGTAGCTTTTAAAACTATTTTCAAATGAGATCGTCGTGTCAAGTAATCAAGTGTGCTCAGGTATTATAAGTACTCTCCGCACGCATTCATTTTGTAGACTGCTTTTCTTTCACACGTAAAAAGTTCCTATGTATTTCAATAAACTAAAAATGAAAATTCTTACAAATTTATCTGTATAAGTGTATAGTTAATAATTGCGGATGAGCCGAAGGAAGCAGTAACGAGGGCGAGGAAGCAGAGAGGACGTGAAAATGCTTACATAATTAACAAATTCAGATTAATCTCTTTCTTCGTGTGATGGCCAAACGGGACACAGACAACAGTTTTATTAATTAACTGCGTCATCGGTCAAGCATAAGCAAACTTAATTGTGAGAGCAAGCAACCGGAAAGCAGCTCGTTAGGTAAGCGGGGCTGAAAAACCTTTTTGATTCGATTAAAACAAGAAGCTAGCGACCATCAATTTTTATTACCCATAAAAGAAAGATTCGAGAGCTTTCTGCTGCGTCTCTTCACGGATAATAATAGCGCGGGAAGACAAAAAACAACGTTATGCTTTAAAACAAAAGCGCTGCAATCATGTTCCAAACAAGTTCTAACTTTCAAATCAATAAACGGGAACAACTAACAAAGGTAATATGAGCAATCATGTTCAACTTAAAACTCTGATCAATAGTAAAAATATTATCAGCAAGCGGTGGTCTTATTTGTACACAAGTACCACAAATTTAATTCTCATTACTTTTTTTCGATAGGGACGGATTTCAATTAGGTGCATTACAACTGATAGGTATCTACAATAACATTAATTTGTAGTCATTTTCATTACACTGGTGTCTACATGGCATGTGTTCTAAAGAAAGAAAATTTAACAATTATGATTTTCTCAAGAATCACAAGAGTTGTAAATAGCAAAGGGAAGTTATAAGACTCTTTTCTTTTTGAAGCTTCTCTGCTAGGTAAGCAAGCGGTATTATCTCATTTTCCAATAATGCTCTATGTATTTGTGGTTCCAGAGTAGATAGAATTGTAACGAAATTTTGAAGAGTTGATGTAGCTGATTATATAAGGCATTTTGGAATGGGCTGACGCCCAAAACGTCCAGTAAAAGAATAAAATTAACTAAAATATAGACATTGTGTCGTTTAGTCATTACATTTAATTAAAAAATTACCACTCTTTTGACATGATGAGTAGCTGTATTAGTTAACGCTTGTCTTTGGAGTTAAAAGATTACGTTAGATTGCAGTATGAAAGAGCTTTGATTAATGAGAGAAGGATTTCCTGATTGGATTATTTGAAGTGATATACCCTATGGGCATAGGTTAAATTATGGAGAGAAAGGATTCCTTTATTGGGTTTTGTAAACTGCTATGCATCAAGGGTTTAGACTGGGTTATGATGGAAACAATTGCCCTGATTGATATGTTGATATAAAATGTCATGCACTATCAGTTTAGGTTATGTTATGTTATGGTAAGAAAAGGTTTTCTAATTGACATACGAAATGTGGTATCCACAAAGGGTTGACGATAAATTATAGTGGGACTAGATTTGCATAACGTAATGTGCCTACTGTGCACCAAGGATAAGTCCTACAAGGTCCTACGTTAGATTAAGATAAGTGGTATGCATACTTTGCCAAATTAATTTTCATGTATGCCAGGTACCCAAAAACAAGCTGTGTGGTTTCGTGGTACACTTGGTAGGAATGAAGTTTCTTACTCTTCCTATTGGCCAAAGTATTTTGTAAAAAAAAAAGACTGCCAAAAATCTAACACATGTATTGCCTAAGTTCTATCTGCTCACAATATTTCAAAATGACAATTTTAGGACTGTAGGTTGCTACTAGAAAGGTTAACTTCTGAATCTTTTTAAAATGTCTCCTATCCACCAGATGGCATCGCATCGTCAGCTCCCTGTCTTCCACTTTTTCTGGAAGCAGTAAGAGGGAGAGAAATGTCCACT